TTGTATGAGTTTTTAAATTAAATAAAATCTTGGGAATTAGATGATGGATTATATGTGATTGATAGTTTCTATATCATGTAGGATGACTATGTTCGGATAATATTGAAATTGAAATGTTGTTACTTAGGATTAAATTGATTTGTGCAATACTTGTGTACAGTGTAATTGGATGATATAATCTAATAAAATGTACAGTGAAATTTAATTTAAGAAGGGAAATGAAACCCGAAAGGGTGAAGAACATGTTGCCCACTAGTAGTTATGGTTGCTACTAGTTGGTTTAAATTATTATATATTGCTATTAGTCTTCCTCCTAATCACTGGGTATTAGTGAGGGGTGTGCACACTAGGGACATTCTGTTTTATATTATGGCCGATTGGGGTTATGCGCGACCCTCTATAAAGTAGGTGGTGACAGTGACTAGTCCCGGCTTACTGGCGTTCTCTTTCCCTTTCTTAAATAAAGTAATAATATGTTATGTGACTATTTGAACTTGGTTGAGTATTAAAATATTTATGAGACTATATTATATATAAAATGTTTTGAACTAAAATTATTTATTTTATGGGATGGAGTTGGAATTACTCAGTTTATCTGATTTTTGGGAGTTTTCTCTCTTTTCTTGTTTCTGATTTATTTTGCAGGTTGGTAAGAGGGTACTCGGTTACGTGTGAGGAAACATTAGAATAATCACGTAGTTAAGGAAATTTAGTTATTTTCGAATTTAATTATTTCCTTTCAACTATTGGTTTCAAATAATTGCAGTTTTGATGTAATGACTATATTATTTTGCCACAACTTAGACCACTTAGTTTATTTAAATATTATGTTATTTTTGCTTTGCATTTATTTTCTACGGAAAATAAGAGTAGCAGTAACACTCCCAGAGTTCGATGGTTGGGTTTTTGAAAGTTAAAGGTTACTCTGATTGTTTTTTTTTTTAAAAAAAGGACTCGAATTTTGGTGTGTTACAAATTGGTATTAGAGCCAGGTTTTTCAAAAGTTAGGGAATAAAATGAATTAAAGTAAAGATTTAGGTTTAAAATTTGTATATAAGTTTAAAATTGATTTAAGCTTAGGAAAGCCGTGAGTGTGGGAATCACGATAAGGGATTTATGTGTTTTATAGTACTTTTATTTAATACTTATTATGTGGTTATTTACTTTCTTTTATTAGATGGTACGAGTAAATAAAACTGCAAGAAAGTCGAGTGCTAGGAAGAGTACACATTTATTACCTGATTCTCCTTACGGGATTTGTATGAATCATAATGAAAACATTCGACATTACGTGCACCGCTTAAATCTCTGCATTGAACACTTCCATTACAATGTACTTGGGGGCCAATCTGACTACCTTACTCGGGAGAGACGATCTCAAATTCTTTTACTCACACTACACTTAAGGGGACCTTTTTCTCAATTTAAGAAGAAATATGCTGACTTATACATCAATGGTGAAACAAATGATAAATATTATTATGATGGAAGATGGATCCCTACTGTGGACTACCTTGAGAAGGCAATGATGGAAGCCAAGCGAGACTTTGACTATAACCTGGATGATGAGGAGGAGGATGAGCCCCAGGAAAGTGAAGCTCGTGAGAGTCAAGGGGAAAATAATAATTGAATTCTTTTAAGCTGCGTTTAGTTTAAATTTTTATAAATAAAATCTAGCTTCTTATGACTAGAAACTATAGTTTTGGTTTATTTGTAACTAGTAGTTTATTGAGCTATTTAGTACTAGTATTTTATTTCAAAGACGATTTTCATTCTCTTCTGGTTTTGCAATAAAATAATTTTGATTAATATATTTATACCTTGTTATTTTATGATTATTAATAAAAATCAATTCAATTTTTTCTATCTATTGTATTTATATAGAACAAAGCTCTTATTTTCTTATGCTTACTTTAGTCAAGACTAGTAATGGCTTGGTTGGGTGATAGTGAAATCACAAAGCAATGCGCGAATTTATAGTCTAATGCTAAGTTGATGCATTATTTGGTTTGGAATTTGGCCGACTCTATGAATGCTATTGAGATTTAATAAATCGCTTAATTCTTGTCTATATGTGCTGATGTGTTACATGAAAGCATGTGGTTGATGATTTAATTGCAATTCACACAATCTAAATAAGTCGTGTTAAAATGTGTATGGTGGTAACACTAGTGTTGAATTTGTGCAGACTGTGTATGCAAAATTACCACGTTTACACCAGGTCTCGTTGGAGAAGAATTGCACAAATGGCTGAGACCCCTGAATAACTTGCTGCTAGGTTAAGAGCTCTTGAGCAAATGAACCAGGACCTTGGAATGTTGTTGCAAAACCAGCTGAATAACAACAACAACCACAACAATAATGACAACGACCCTCAAGCTTCTATGGCTAAGAAACTTGCTGCATTGAAACCTCCGCTATTTATGGGGAAGGAAGTTGCCATGTTGGTTGAGAACTGGGTACGCGACTTTGACAAGATTTTCACTGCTGCTGGTACCCCTAATGCTCAGAAGGTAGACCAAGCCACTTTCTATTTACGTGAGGCTGCTGATACTTGGTGGGAAAATGAAGGAGCTACTATAAGAGCTTAACAGAATTTTAACTGGGAGGCTTTTAAGAAAGCAATTAGGGATCGTTTCTTTCCTGAGCATATCAAGAGGCATAAATACAGTGAGTTTAGTAGGTTTAACCAAACAGCTGGTATGAGTGTGCAGGAGTATGCTGAGAAATTTAATGAGTATGCTAGGTTTTGTCCCAATGTAGTGCCTGATGAGAGATCCAAGGCTCAGAAGTTTGAAGATGGATTGACTTTTAGGATCCAAAAGAAGGTGATCGGGGCTGGTACTGCTGCTACTTATAAGGAGGCCTATGATAGAGCTTGTAATATTGAAAGGATTTTGAAACGTGAGCAGGAGGTCAAGGATAGGCATAAGAGAAAAGGGAATGGTGAGAGTTCATCGAACCCTCAAGGTTATGACAAGATACCACGCCAGGGGGTAATAGAAATGGGAATGGTGGAAATGGTCAGCAAGGAGGCCGTAACAACAACAATCGAAGCAATAACCACCGGGGCCAGGGACAACAGAATCAGCAAGGATCTCGCAATCGACCATGCCGTAAATGTGACAAGAGCCATCTAGGACGCAACTGCAATGGAGATTTGCTTACTTTCTTTGAATGTGGGGAGGGTGGTCACAAGAAATTTGAGTGCCCAAAGAAGCAGAATGGCAATAACCAAGCTTAGAATGGGCAAGGTAACAACAATGGCAATAATGGAGGTGGTTATGGGAGGAACTCTAACTACAACAACCGCTTTAACAACAACAATTCTCAGGGCCAAAATGGCAATGCTCAAGGAGGGAATGGCCAAAACAACAACAATGGCGGAGGAAGTAACCACAATGGCAATGGTAGGACCAGTAACGGAAGAATTTATATCATGAACCAGAGTGAGATTGACTCTAATGCCAACGTTGTGACGGGTACTTTTCTCGTGAACTCAAAACCTGCTTACTTACTTTTTGATTCTGGGGCATCTCATTCTTTTGTAGCCACTTCTTTTGTGAATAAACATGCTTTAAAACCTTCATCTTTGTGTCAAACCAATATAACAATTCCTTCAGGGGAGGTAGTTCCTTGTAGATCCATATACCAAGACATTCCAATTAACATTGCTGGAACTGAGTTGCTTGCAAACCTTATTCAGTTTGACTTAACTGACTTTGATGTGATATTGGGGATGGATTGGCCTAGCAAGTATAAGGCTAGAATTGAGTGTCATACCCAAAAGGTGTCTCTTAGGGTGCCAAGGGGGAATGGAATCTCTTACCAGGGAGTTGTGTCAAAACCAGGGATCAGTATTGTGTCAGCCATGACTTTTCATTCTTATAACTGAAAGGGCTATCCTATTTATTTATGCATGTGAAAGATGTGAGTGTAGAAGAGAAGTCCATAGATCACATTCCAGTGGTGAGAGAATTCCAAGATGTTTTTCTAGATTAATCCCAAGGATGCCACCAATTAGGGAGATGGATTTCAAAATAGACTTAGAGCCTGGAACTGGAGCTATTTCCAAGGCACCATATAGAATGGCACCGGCAGAGATGAAAGAGTTGAAGGTACAGTTGGAGGAGTTGCTGGAGAAGGGTTATATAAGGCCAAGGGTTCCACCTTGGGTAGCGCCGGTTTTGTTTGTGAGAAAGAAGGACGGATCCTTAAGGTTGTGTATTGACTACCGAGAGTTGAATAATGTCACTATAAAGAACAAATATCCATTGCCTAGGATCGAGGACTTGTTTGATCAGCTTAAAGGTGCTGGGATATTCTCAAAGATTGACTTGAGGACAGGATACCATCAGTTGAGGATTGCTGAGGAAGACATACCAAAGACAACCTTTCGCACGAGATACGGACATTATGAGTTCACTGTTATGCCTTTTTTACTCACTAATGCGCCGACAGCTTTTATGGATCTCATGAATAGAACTTTTCAGCCATATTTGGATAAGTTTGTGGTGGTGTTCATAGATAATATTTTGGTGTACTCGAGGGATAGAGAAGAGCACGAAGAACATCTAAGAAAAGTGTTGGAGATTCTTAGAGAGAAGAAGTTATATGTCAAATTTTCAAAATGTGAATTTTAGCTAGAGAAGGTAGCATTTCTAGGCCATGTGATCTCAAAATAAGGAGTTGCGGTGGACCCATCCAAGATTCGGGCAGTTTCTGATTGGCCAAGACCCAAAAGTGTGACTGAAGTGAGAAGTTTCTTAGGGCTTGCTGGATACGATAGGAGATTTGTACAAGACTTTTCGAGGATAGCTCAACCCATAACAAATTTGATGAAGAAAACTACTAAGTTTCAGTGGGATGAGAGGTGTGAACAATCTTTTCAAGAATTGAAGCGAAGACTCACCTCAACACCAGTCTTAACCTTACCATCAGGGACTGAGGGGTTTTAAATCTATAGTGACGCATCTAAGAATGGCTTTGGGTGTGTACTTATGCAACATGGGAAGGTTGTAGCTTATGCATCAAGGCAGCTCAAGCAACATGAACAGAATTACCCTACTCATGATTTGGAGCTAGGAGCTGTAGTGTTTGCTCTCAAGATCTGGAGACACTACTTGTATGGTGTGAGATGTAAGGTGTATACAGACCACAAGAGTCTTAAATACATATTCACACAGAATCATTTGAAAATGAGGCAAAGGAGATGGATTGAGGTGCTAACCGACTACAACCCGGACATTCTATATCACGAAGGAAAGGCGAACAAGGTAGCTGATGCTTTGAGTAGGAAGATAAGTCATACAGTGAACTTGATGATTTTAGCCAAGGAACTTTGTGAAGAATTTAGGAAGTTGAACTTGGAGGTTGTGGAATATGGCCAGGTGAACGTTCAGTTGAATGCAATGTCAGTCAAACCTACCATGTATGATGAGATTCGTGAGAAGAAAATGTTAGATGAGTGGTTGACCAACGTGAGAAAGATGAAAGACGAAGGAGCAACAACTGAGTTTGATGTAGATGATAGTGGAGCAGTGAAATACAAAGGGAGATGGTGTATTCCTAAAAATGAAGATCTTAAAAGGAATATTTCCCCTTTAAGTCATATCTTAAAAGTAATCATACACTAAAGTACACTAAAGGGAATAAAAAACTGGGGGCAAATCCTTGTCGGAAAAGGTGATCAAGCATTACCCCTAGCTTGAACCCCACTATAATCATAAACTAAAGTACACTAAAGTACGGGGAATATTTCCCTTTAAGTCATATTCCTTTTAAGACTCTTTTTCTCTAAAATCGAGTCATATTCCCTTTAAGTCAACCCGGATTTTTATTCCCGTATACTGCACAAGCGTCAACTTGTTTTGGTAATAGACGGAGTTATAGGAAGAGTTACGAGTCGTTCAACCTATGGATCTGTAGCCCCGAGTTTTATCTTTAATTTAGCGTTGGATTCATCCCAATCAGAGTCACAGATCAAAATGTATGACTAAAATACCACAGCCTGTCCAGTTTAATGCATATATGTGAGGTCTTAACTTAGTCTTTGTTCGAGTCTAGCCACATGGTCATGACACGAGTCTTAACATGTCACCTACACTCACTAGTCTTAGCACGCACTTTGTGTATATGTCACCATGACCATGTCTTAGGTTCATGCATGAGTCGTTCTGTCCGTCATTTGAGTTGGGGGTACATTCTATTCCTAATTTCTTCATATCTCTCCATCTAAATCATTTTTCTTCACATCACAACCTTCATTCTTCCTACCTTCTTTCATCTATGCATGTTGAATAGATTTGAGTCAAATAATTAACAATGAATATCCCTAATTTCCTTTCCACAGTACTTGGTTAAGGAGAGAAGGGCGATTAATCAAGGACAACACCTTTATTCAAGTTCAACTTTTTAATAAACCGATTTGTCAAAAGAGGAAAGCTAAGAAGATAATGGCAACTCAAGAAGAAGTCAACGAGCATAGGAATCAATTGACTGGAGTGACTGAGGAGTTGAAGGCTTTAACCCTCAAAATCAATGACCCTGTGAAGCAACAACAAATGGAGCTCATGCAAGAAAGCTTGAGCAAGCTATCTAGTGACTACAAATTTCAGGTCATCAGTTCGCAAGGGGTCTTACTGGACAAGGAACTTCTTCCGCATAAATTCAATACCATTGACATCCCTAAATTCAAGGCAATAGATAATCCTTATCTTCACTTAAGAGCCTTTGAAACTATAATGAACATTAAGGGGATTGATAAGAAAGTCTTTCATTCCTTTTTTTCTTTATCAATTGAAATTGTTTGTCAACAACGGTTCTTTTCTCTTGACAAAGAGAAAACCTCTACCTGGGAATCGATAGTAAACGATTTTATTGATAGATACAAGTGTAACATTCAAGTCGAAACCGATTATAGACAACTTGAAATGCTAAGACAAAAAGAGAATGAAGGCTTTACTTCTTTCTTCAATAGGTAGAGGGAAACTTCCGCTAAGATGATCGAGGTGCCCTCCGAAAAAGAATCTGTGAGGATGTTTATCAAGAATCTCCAAGAGAAGTATTCAAAGAATTTAAAATATCAACATAATTTGAATACTTTCAAAGCCGTTTATGACATCGGAATTGAAATAGAAAGATGACCTCGCAAAACAAAAAGATACTAACAATAGTAACCACAGTGGATGGAAAGAAAAGAAGAACGACAATCCTTCTTCTTCCAAAAACGCCCACTCTAGTAATAATGTTAGTACGTTTGACCATAATGGTGTCTTAGCTATGGACAATCAAGGATCTAAAAGGGAACCCAGGAGAGAGTTCCTACCCATTGGAATGACCTACGATGTTGCTTTCGATCGTCTCTATGATCGAGGATTAATCAAACTATTGGCCCTACCGAGGATCCAACGCCAGAAAATCGATCTTCGAGATGGAATCCCAACTCTTATTGCAAGTACCATCGAGGACGCGGTCATACTACTGATGAATGCTACAGGTTTCAAAATCTCATTCAAGATCTCATAGAAGCAAATAAGATCCCATTTCCTCTAGCAAACGAGAAGACTGGGTGATGATGAAGCAACGACACAAGACAGAGGCGAGCTTCAACGACGAGATTTCATGACCTCTTTTTTCTATTTCTTTTTTTATTTACCGTTTCCCCCAATAAGTCTAGCATAGACACCTTTCTTTTCCCTTAGATTAATTTTGTAGAATCTTTCTTTTTCCTTTTTAATAAAATGAGTTATTATTTCCATGCATATGATCATTTCATTACATTGCATTAAAAAAAAATCATTGTTGAATTAAGAACAAGGTATACCAATGATTTGAGGCACCCCTTGTAGCCACATCATATTGCCTTTCACCCTTCTAATTTACAATCCTTTCTTCATAAACCACTTTGAGCCTTGTCTAACAATAGACCTTTCATTTTTCAACCCACATCTACCTAACCTTGGGATGTGATGGTGTGTAACTTATGCAATTTTCAATTTCATAAAAAGCTGGAGTGACTTCAAAAGATTAAAATAGCAAATAATAAGCAAAAAAAATAATAAATAAAAGTGTACAAAAGGGTAAGTGTTCCAATGTCTTTGACATGAACATGTCTTTGATATGAACACGTCTCAGATTGCGTCTCTTATCGAGTGCTCGGTACCGTTTCCCTATAAACATGAATGCCAAGTGAGTGATAGACCGCATGATCGGGATTGCCCACACTTATAAAAATGAAATACATGCTAAAGCAAAAGAGAGAGCTAAAAAAGAGTAGAAAACCTCAAGCATGAAAATACAAATACTCAATAGCAAGGTTGCACACCTTGGGGGGGCTTATCTAAGGTCTTGAGCCTTTATCCCCTTCATCTTCAACCTTTAGCCTAACCACGTTATAACCCTTCAAAAGACCTTTTTGAGGTATACACACTTGTGCGAGGTTCGGCTAGATCTACGTTCGGCCTGATTCCTAACGGATACTTAGGCAACCTCACATCGAGGTGCGCCCATAATAAACATGCATTCATATTCACATTCACATTCACGCATCATGGTCATATCAAGGGATCTCCTATGCTCATCCCTAATCATTTAGAGTTAGACTTGGGGGCGTGATCCCTACATCATTAGCTTACCTAGCCTAAGAGTCACCACCATTTGACTCTTGTAAAAAATAATATATTTCCACACACTTAGCCCTTGCGGCCTAACTTTAGTGTCACTTTCACACACTGCACCGATACATGACCAAATATACTTTCCCTTAGGAACCCTTTGTCATGAAATCTTAACACAACGTTGAAGCATGTATTGTCACATCAAAATCACTTATCAATCATAATTGTCATTGCATCACAAAGTATGAAGTGCTTAGCCTCCGTGCCTAAGTTACCCAAATACTTTCATCATCGAGTCAACCATTGAGATAGCCTAGGATGGATTAATCCATGCACCTTGAGAGATAGTATCAAACAACATTTGACTAATCTCATTCAACATGTACCTTCAATAACTTTGATTCTTTTTCACGTCTTTCTTCTTCGGGAGAAAGTCGGTACCCTCCACAAAAATGACGGAAATTTTTTGCTTTTTTTCATTTTAGAGTCGCACGATCACATTACAATGCACACACGAGTCATGTACACATTGAGTCATGTCAGGTTATTATCACATTGAGTCAGCACTAAGTCTTAGGTCAATGCTAAAGAAAGAAGGCAAAGTCCTATGATCAAAGATATAAATGCAGGTGCATCCCAGAAAGCGAGGACATTCTAGATTTTTTTCAAAAAAAACCGCGAATATAACACTGGAGATTCCTCTAAGATAAGAGGAGTTACATGGATCAGTAAATTAGATATGAAGAGCTTTAATTTACAAAAGATTTAAGCGGATTTGGTTGAAAGGAAACGACCAAGCTCAAAGTTCGGAGCAAAACCAAGCAACAGCGGCAGCAAGAGCAGAGTAGGGAAGACCCGACTCCAGCACCAGACGACAAGTCTGTCGTCTTGCAACAACATCTGGCATCTGGCAACAGAGTTCAGCACCTGGCGACAGAGCCAATTCTTGGCGCCAGCGATATTTCAGCAGCGACAGAGCTCAAAGCCTCTCAGAATGGTTATTTCAACCTCATACAACAATTTTGGGTTCCTTTGTACGCCAGTTAGCCCCTATAAGCAAATTGACATGATTAGTAGTCGACTCAATTACAATCGTAGTAAGTGATTGACCTGACAAAAAATCGTCTCACATAGCTTAAGCACCTAAGCATTGGCTCATTACAAACACCAAGACATTGGTTCAAAAGCAAGCGCATCACTTATACAACAATTTTTCCAAGATTGGATTGTCATCTCCAACTGACAATATTTCCAAAATATGGATTGTCGCGCATCTTCTTTAATCGACAATTTTTCCAAGATTGGATTGTCATCTCTGGCAAAGTTTCCAAGCGTGGATTGTCGTGCTCCTTCTTTGTTTGGCAAGTTTTTCCAAGTTCGGATTGTCATACATTAATCGACTCATTGGCAAGTTTTCCGAGATTGGATTGTCATACACCCAGTTCCCTATTCATTGTTGTAGGTCTCTATTAATCATAAATTTCGGCAAAGGTTCCTCAATGTGGATTGTCATTCATTTCAGTAAGTGGCAAATTTTCCCGAAGTTGATTGTTGGTCGACTCTTTTTTGCAAATGTTCCAAGACGCGGATTGTCAATTGTGGCAATAATTGCAGTTTTGATGTAATGACTATATTATTTTTCCACAACCTAGACCACTTAGTTTATTTAAATATTAGGAAAAATTTTAAATTACCACCCAAAAATGTATCCATTTTCAACCACCCGTTTAATTTTTTATTTTAAATTACCACCCCTTAAATTAAATAAATGCTCAGATTACCACCCATTTTTAAAATTCGATGGATTTTCCGTCTGTGGGCCCTACCTAACGCTTATTTTGACCCTTTTGACTGATTTCCCCCTCGATTTTTCTCTTTAAAAACGTTCTCCTAACTTCAATTCACGTTTTCTCTTTGAAATTTGGTAGAATTTTGTGAAGGAAATATGAATTAAAGTTTAGAGAGCGTTTTTAAAGAGAAAATTTGGGGAAAAAAATCAGTCA